TTTCCCTGTATTTATAAATTGGACAACATGTAATGTAACACATCACTATCTTGCAAGCAAACTGTGAAGGCAGAATCCTTGTCATACGAGAGATGCTCAGAAACTATAGAGTTACTGGAGCTCCAAAAGAGCAATTAGATTAGATTCCCATGTGGGATTAATGCTGTGTCTCCATTTACCCTCTGCACTCCTTCACTCAACACAGTCCCACAAGAGGATGCCACTTTGAACAGTTTTAAAAGGCAGATGGGCTTGGCCAGCTCACATATGATCTTCCTTCTCCTGCCAGTATCAGACGTTCATCACACCTACTATTGCCACCCCACACCTGATGAAAACCCTGGGGAGGGCCCCACCATCTCCATGTTGTACACGGCTAAAAGACAACTAAGCTCACAAATACAATTTGTGCTGTATGTCCCATAGATAGGCCAAGGAAAGTGTAACTCCCAGTACTTCTGGGTCAGGTTCTGAACCAAAAGGATAAACTTCTTCCATTATTCAGCAGTTGCAAATGGGAACACAGACATAACAAATCCCTGGCTCCACTGCTGGCCTTCATACAAATCTTATTTTAGGGCTCTGCATGCTACGAATCTCATAAATAATTTATTACTTGGAAAATCATTCTGTGACCCTCAGTGACTTCAGTGGAAAAGCACGTGAAACAGCAGAAATGGGAAATGACACATGGGACAGCACAACCAACAGCCAAGTCCTCACTTTCTGTCACCTCCAGGTCTGGTGTGGGTGACTTTTGTTGCTCTCCACAAAAACAAGGGGTTTACATTTCAGTGTTTCAGCTTCTGCATGTTGATATTTTGGTATATCACATAGTTACTACTGTCAACCACTGGCAGATGTTTTAAAAATTGCAAATGAAGGGAATGAACAGCTGTGGGAGGGAAAAGACACAAAACTGAAGTGAAAATAAGGTGGTGCCAGGGCACCCTGCCCTGCAGCTGGCAGGGCATTGCACAGCAAATGGCAGAGATTTTCAGAGACTCTTGATCATCCCCTCTGATAGATTTAATTTGTCCTCCAAAATACTGAACCGTGTTAATAGCAAACATTATAATCCCCTATTGCCTCTTGCAGTCTTGTGTCTTCCTAAACATGTCACCACTCCTGGAGCTGAAATGTCTGATGCTTACAACTTTCAGCAAACATGATTACTTGACATTAACTTGCAACAACATTTCCCTTAGTTCCTATTATGCTACAGTCACATTTAGCCTTTGCTACTCCTGACTTCTCCCCTCTGCACCAGGCAATACTTCTGAGCATCTACACTGAAACATGAACATGGTCCAAACTCTTAGGTCCAAAGTCATCAACAAACTTCTTATTTCCTCAGGTGAGCACATGTATGATGTCAGATGGTTGTTCTCAGGCTGGTGTGACTGGATGTAACTGAACATAATAGTAACCTTGTTGAGAGATTGCCATCTTCAAATTGATTTTTTTAAAAACAAATTGTGACAGTATTTGTATAGGTAGTAGCAGGCCCCATGTTCACATCCTTTCCATGCATAGTAAGCACTATGTGCACTATGTGTATACTGCTGGGTTTACAGGCCCTTAAATATTTCAGAAATTCACTTGGATTAAAGCTAAGCTGCTGTGAGTCCTTAAACTCCTGTGAATTCTTGCCTTCTGGAGAGTGAGAGAGAAGCATGTTAGTGCCACACATTGATTGCACAGTTAAAATAACAGTGCTAGGATATACAAGACAGCATTCTTTCAATGTAATTAATCCAACCACATCACATTTTCTTGTGTCTTCTGTGTTAAATAAAGACCAGAAAATAACACATCAGCTGGCACAGCCATTCAGACCCTACCCTGCTTGATTTTAACTTGTTACATGAACAAGGGTTTTGCTTTGACTTCAGCTCCAGCCTAGAAAAAGAAACCACAGCATTTTTAAAAGAAATGAAAGACAGCAGAAGCCTGCCTAACATTTTCATCATGTAATTCATATCTTCACTCACAGATGCTTGAAACAGAGGTGTCCAGACTAAGATGATCACCAAAGTTACTACTTATTCAACAGTAGCAGACAAATACTTCCCAAAGGCAATCTACCCCTCCATAGATGAAATGCTGTTGACAATACAACAGGGCTGGCACTGGAAGTAGCTCAAGACACTCACTCCTCTGAAAAACACACCATTTTTATGCATTCGCCTCATTCAAGTAACCAAGACTCACCCAGGCAGAATTCTGTCTGCTTTTCACCTGCAGAGACATCCCCTTTGCAGAGAGTGGTGAAGTTTTGAATGCAGAGCAGGAGTGAGCCCATGACTACTGACAATATTTTTTAACTACCAAAATAAACCAGATAGCCTGACAGGATGGGAGTTCTGCCCTTCATCTTGTCAATCCATCAATCTGTCTGGATGAGCCAGAGCAAGAGCCCATTCCCTTTTGCAGGCTGCCTGGACACTAGTGATAGGGCCATAAATCAGCTAAGTGAATAAGTAAAACATTTGGGAGTCACAGGATTTGGAGGTACTAGTGGAGTCACAAGTAGTTATTTACGAGGCTCAGACAGGGGGACACACAGACAAGATGTGACATAATTGCTGGCAGAGCCTGGTGAGCAAAATCAGCCAAACTTGTAGAGAAGTGACAGGCAGTGAGTGGTTCAGATAGAAGTGATGGGTCCAGAGGCACAGGGGGGACCACAGACCCTATTGATGTACAAAGGCTTTAGCACAGAGCACAGAAGACTTGAATCATCATTCTAATAAATTAATCAGAAACAAATGCAGAATTCTAGTTCTTACTTGTAATTAATAAAAAACAGGACAGTCCTGACACAGCAAATGTTCTAAACAAACCACCAAATTGTTGTGTTCTCAGTCTCAAATTCTAGCTGTGCTTCACACCAGAGACCCAGATACTCACTGAGAAGGAGGATCTCTCACCCTACACTTCTTTTTAGTTTTGGGTGGGCTTTCATTATTTGTTAACTCTAAGTAATATTTTGGGTTGGAGTCTTCCCATCTCAGAAGTTTTTTAAAGGAAAACATCAAAGACTTTGGTTAGAACCACAAAACTTCAGTTTTTTTCAGGGCAACAACTACAGAAGTGCAGTTTCATGAAAACTTCTGAGCAGGTCACAGAGGAGGAATGTCACAAGCCCTGCAGTGATGAATGGAGGGGTTGTGTAGAGTGGGGAGGAATGCCCAGGGATCAGGTTTTGTGTGACTTATCCCTTTGGTAAATCTATACTTGACTTGATCTTCTCTTCTGCCTCAGGGATTATGAATGCACAGAAGTGATTGCTCAGGCTGTCCCCAATGTACATACAGATACACCAGACACTCTATAGCTATTTATTTATGAAAGAGGCATTGGTACAAAATGCCAAAAGGAGACAAACACCATCTGTATTTTCTAAGTGAACAAAAGCGATTTAGAGCCAACTCCAGTGGGCAGAACATTGAATTTGTGTCCATTTGGTGAGGCAAGAATAGGGTGACCACACAAGAGCAGGTCAGTCTGTTCCCTTCCATGTCTGCAACACATCCATGAATTCTTTCACAACATAGACACGTATTTCCCTAC